CTTGTAACCCTAGCACTTGGGCAGCTGAGGCAGGAGGATCGTTGCAAGTTTGAGGCTAGCCTGGGCTACATAAGTGAGTTCAAGGCCAGCCTGAACTGCATAGCGAGACCCTGTCTCAAAAAGACAAAAAAAAAAGAAAGAAAAATTATTCAATGGAAGATGAAAAAGAGGAGAAAAAATGAGATAAAGGGCCCTATTGAAGAATAGAGGGAAATTAATACTATTAGATAAAAGTGACAGAAATGAACAAAGAAGAAAAGAGAAAAAACAGACAGCATAATAAAGAAAAATAAGAATGAAAAAAATTAAAAAGAGAAAGGGAGAAAACACCCCCCCTCAAAAAAAAAAAAAAAACAAAAACAAAACAATGAAGGAAAAAGAAAGAAAAATGAGCAACTGGGCATGGTGGCACATTCCTGTAATCCTAGCACTTGGGAGGCTGAGGCAGGAGGATCATTGTGAGTTTGAGGCCAGCCTGGGCTACAAAGTGAGTTCAAGATCAGCCTGAACTGCATAGTGAGACCCTGTCTCAAAAAAGACAAAAAAAAAGAAAAAAGAAAAAGAAAGGAAAAGCAAAAATGAGTAAAGTAATTCCTCTGTCTTTTTGAATGAGTGATTTCTTTCCAGACTCTGCAGTCTCAGAATCCAGGAGTCATGATTTTCTCCACATAGCTGTACTGTCCATGGGTTTGTGATGTGGCCACCTCCTCAGAGGCCCTTCTAGCCATACACCCCAGACTGTGGGCGCCATCCAAGTCAAAGCATGACCTTGCTTACACCGGTAGATAGGGAGAACGAACAGGCCATGGTCTCTGCAGGATACAGGAGGCCGGCCAGGGGTTGAAACAGACTGCTGGACTTAATGCCAACACTTTCAGATCCAGCTACCTCTGAAAGCCACACTTTCTGGGCCTGCTTCTCACCACAGAGGCCCATGTCCTTCCTAGCCCAAGCTTAAACGTCTGAGGGGGCGTGTGCCTAGACTGTACCCTCTCTGTGGCTGTCTCCTGTAGCTATTTCTCTCCCAGGCACTGTGGAAGGGTGACACCAGAAACCCTGAAATGGAGTTGTTTTGTATTTGTTCTGTGGCTCACTTTTACGCACTTTAACCCCTTCCCCAAATGGCACCTCATTAAGCACTCTCTGGCAATACGGTGGGTGCTGCACTGGGTTTCTTTTTCCAACCTAACCTGCCATGAAAGAGTCATTTTGTGGGTAAGAATCCATGCTGTCTTTGTAGTTTACAGTAGCTGTGGGCTTTTCTTTGGGGCTAGCACTGTTGTCCCGGCTATTCACTTCTCCTTGGAGCTGCCTGCCCTCTGCAGCTTACCTTCTCTCCCAAGCACTGGCCTTGTCCACTGTCAGGTTGGCTTGTTGGTTGGTACCGCTGCTGCTCCATGGCGGAGCACCTCTTGGTGTCTCTGCTGCCAAGGAAAAACAAAGCATGGACTGGGTTTGGAGTTGGCAGGTGGCTGCAGCCAAGTTGTGGAATCCACACTGTGGAGTTGGCCACGGTTAAATGCAGGTTCCATCTGCAACTGTAATTTTTAAAAAAATCTTTATCTTTTAAATCTTCTCTTCCTTTTCATCACAAAGTATGCTTTTAACAGAGACACACATACATTGAAACAAATATATTAGCTATTTTGCAAATGATCAAGGGAGAAACTTCTGCTACTTGACATCCTGTGTGAATTGTTAGGTCTCCTCCAGGAGTTTTCCTTCGCTACTCAGATAAGGGCTGCAGAAGGAGATTAGGGAGCAGCTTTGAAGCACCCACTTTTTCTTGCCACAGCTAGAGAAATGCAGAGCACCAGGCACTGGAATAGGTTCTGAGGCTGAGGTGCACTAGTGTACTACTCGGGGCCTGCTCTAGTTCAGAGACATGCTCAGGTGGACATGCGCAGGTGGTTGCAGCATCCGAGGGAGCTACTCAGAGCTTTCTGGAGCAGTTTCTGTTCTGCTCACACCAAACTTACTGGGTGTCTGTTACTCAACATGCCTCAAAGTGCAACTTAGACCAGGAAGTCTGATAGCAGCAAGTTTTAGATTACGAGATTGCTATTTTACACAAATATTCAGAAGCAACTAATATATACATTGTTCAGTGTGGAGTTATAATAGCAATGAAGCTTTGTGTTGGCTTTGTAAGTGGGGAATCAGCAAGGGTGTTAGAGAGCCAATTCCAAACTTGGCCCCACAAAGTGTTAGCTCTTGTGGAGCGAACCTTAAAACACACACAGCCTTTCTATATTGCCTCATCTTACCTTCAGAGGTTAACTATCTTAAGCATATTGACACTAGATATTTAAGAAGGAAATGGGGTCCATTTGTTGGATTCATGGACAGAAGGGAAAATGGAGCATTTTTCTAGAGCAAACCCCCTGTCCAGTTTTGCCATCCCAGAGCCATGGGGAAGGCGATGGGGAATGATACAGGCTCCTGAGATAAATTTTGAGTTCACTCTCACATGTTCATCTTGCCTTTGGAGGTGCAAGATGAGGGTCCAGTGTAGGGATGTGTCTCACAGGATGAGTATAATGCCATGTGGAATGGCCCCAGCCCTGCCCAAGGCCCGGGCTTAGACCTTAATGGAACCTCTCCCAGAAGTTGACCTTCAGAGCAAGCCGGACTGTTTCATCAGAAGCTAACAGCATCTGTCAGGAATTTCTCTAAGACATGGGCCCATGCAAAGGGAGGTAACTATTCTACTCATTTATCTCACTGAGAAAGGCTAGCTCAACAAATCAGGTCATGTTTCTGGCCAGGTTTTTTTTTTTTTTTGACAAGGCCTCGCTATGTAGTTTAGGCTGGCCTTGAACTCATTGTGCAGCCCAGGCTAGCCTCAAACACATGGCAATCCTCCAGCCTCAGTCTCCCAAGTGCTGGGATTATAGCATGTGCCACCATGCCTGGCTCATGACCAGGTTTTGTTGATCACTACAAAGCTGTCTTCTCATTCAGTGCATTCACTTAACTAACAGAGCAAATGAAAGACTGATGAAAAGGAACAGGAAGATACAGCTTTTGCAAATAGGACAAGGACCACGAGACTGAGGGTGGACGGAAGAGAAAGGGGGAAGGGGATGTAAAAGATGTAAGATGTGTCATGTACATGTACCAACTACCCAAAATGAATGTTATCATTATGTATCACAAACATGAACTAAAAAAAAGAAAAAAAGAAAATGGGGGGGGGGAAGGGGATCCAGATGGAGGGAGGGAGAAGAATGGGGAGGGAAAGGGCAATAAAAAGAATTAAAATACATTACCTACATGTACCTACTCCCTAAAATAAAGGTGGACATCAAGTACTGAAAACAAAGCTAAGAAAACAAAAACACAAAAAGCTCTAAGTAATGTGGCTTTGATTTCTCTTTCTTCCTCTTTTTCTCCCTCTTTCTTCCCCTTCCCGCATTCCTTCCTCTCTCCCTTTCTTTCTGTTTCTATCTTTCCTTCAGAGACCATATTTATTAGAAAATTTCTATGTAGAGGACAAAATCTGCTCTGCTTTTTAAATTTTATCTCTGCAAGTTACATACCCACAAATGAAACATAAAAGTTCACTGCCCTTGGAAAGTCTGTTTCCTGATTTTCCCCATCTGTGAACTAGAGATCATCCCCTCTGCCTCACAAGCTTGTTGAAAGAATGAATTGCAAAAGCATCTGCTGTACCAAGGCCTTTGTTGGGGTTGGTTTCTTCCTTCTTCCTTGCTGACAGAGCATTTAAACTAACTTTGTCTCACTCAACTATCTTACTAAGAGGAAAAGCAAGTATTAATATTCATATTTCATAGGTAGATAAATGAGCTGCAGAAGTGACACAGCTTATCGCGGGTCCCTGGAGTGTTGAGGAGCATCATAGAAACCAAATGGAGATCTGGCTGCTGGGCCCATGGTCTTCCAACACTTATCAAATGTTGGTGTAATTTTATTAAATGTGATTTACTAGAAAATTCTTAAACATTTCCAATAATAAGTCAGCAATTGTGTGCTAATTAAATGTTAGTAGAACTTGTTTTGAATATTAAAATTTGAGAACTTCAGCTGTACTAAGACCCATGGAAGTGCTGATATATTCGAGCAATCTTTATCCCCAAAGGCCCTTATTCAGCTGAGTGGCTGAAGGTCATTTACTTTCTAATACATAATCCCCTACTCATCCTGCATTTGTTGATCCGTGTTGAGCCCATACTACTCACTTGGACTGATTAGCATATTTGTACTATGCCCTTATCCACATGTAATTGCCACTAGAGCTCTCCTACAAATGTCCTGTGCTCTAGGAAAAACCTTGCTCTCTTCTTAATGTGGTTTGCAAAAATATGAACCTATAAATTATACAGACTGAGACAGAGCAAGACAGAAAGATCAAAACTAGATAAGGAAAGACATGTTGCAAAAACTGTATAGGAGCTATTCTGTGCCCTAATACTAACTAGTGAAAAGCTCAACTTCCATTATGCTGCAAGATCAAAGCCTTAAAATATGTGAAAAGGCAGATTGAAGTCATCACTGAAAAATAACAGATACTGAAAATAAAAATCATGCTGAGGCCTAACAATTACTCGGAAGAATAATGCTCTCATTTATTATGCCCGGAATTATAAGGACAGAAATGCACTCTATGATTGAGTAAATTTTCTCCAAAAATTCCATTTGGGGAGAAGGAAAAAAGCCTTCCCTCCACCATACAGTACAGCCCTGTGGTGTGGGAGCTACTGTTTCTCTATTAACTGCTCCCCCAAATCCTTTGTTATAGCATTAAATTGATGGACCATGTTGGAGTGCATTCACTGAGCACTGTTTTGAATTGTTCCCCCAGTATCAGTTGAAACTTCAGTGCTGTATGCAAAGCTTAACAATGAGAATGTACAGGGTCCATATATTGAATGTAAATAATAATTTAGTGTATCTATGTTGAATACAAACAAATCCTAGGTTGCTTAAAAGGCAAGTGGGAAAGATTGTACAATCACTTTGCTCTGTTGTTAATCCAGGATCTCCCGGTGAATATCAAGTTCATTCTGGAAGGGATGGAAGAAGCTGGTTCTGTTGCCTTAGAGGAACTTATCAGAAAAGAGAAGGACCGGTTCTTCTCCAGTGTGGACTACCTTGTGATCTCAGATAATCTATGGCTTAGCAGAAAGAAGCCTGCACTCACTTACGGAACCCGAGGGAACAGCTACTTCATGGTGGAGGTATTGATGGACACTTGTAGAGGGATGCTGTGGATGGCAGGGAGAAATCCATTCTGGGGTCTTAGGAAGGAAAACCAGAAACTCTTACCTGGAATACAGCCTGCAAGATCACAGAAGACTTGAGGTTTGGGGGTACGGTTTGTGAATGCTAGTGTTGCGCTTGTGTGCATTTTTTTGGGAGAGAGAATTCCTAGGGGCTTGTGACTAACCAAAGTATTTAGGAACTATTGCTTTGGAATTTATGTAGTAGGGGCCGGGGATATAGATCCGTGGCACAAGCACCTGTCTAGCAAGTGAAAGGTCATGAGTTTGAGTCCAGGTACCAAAAAAAAAGAAAAAAGGAATTTATGTAGAGGCAGGAATAGCAGCCTAAGGGATAACTTCCTGGTCAGAGGCTGAGGATGCTGAAACATTACCATGGTATCTGCCTGCTGAGTCTCCACGACAGGAGACATAAGGGCCATTTATTGGTCAACATGATCTAATTGTGAGACTCAAATATTAGGGACCAGATAGAAATACCATGCAGTGTACCCTTTTCCAGAAATGAGAATGCTGCTTCTCGGGATATAGGACTGTATAAAGCAGTCTCAGGAAGGTTACTGTTATAAGATATAGATACAGAGGTGATGTGGGGGGGAAAGGGGAAATAATAAGGGACCTCAGTCGAAATCTCATGTGAAGAACTTGGATGTGAGGAGAGATGGCCAGTGTGAATTCTTGGCCACACATAAGATTGAAATCTTATATGGACCAAGACTCAAGGCTTAAATAAAATAAAAGTTTATTATAGGAAAGAAACACAGACAGCAGAGATGGCCACTTCACAGACTGAGCAGCACTGGACGAAAGGCACATCTCCTGTTTATGGGGTCTCATCCTGGTTTCCTGTGCATCCTCCTTATCTCAGGAACTCGATTTGCTTCTCTTTTTTTTTTTTTTTTTTTTCTCGGTACTGGGAATCAACTCATGACTTTGCGCTTGCCAGGCAAGCACTGTGCCACTGAGCTAAATCCCCAGCCCCTCTCCAGCCCCTCCATTTGCTTCTTTGATTAACCATTTACTTCCTTTGCTTCTCTTATCATCTAAAAGTAAAGTTGCCCGCTTGCTTCCCAGGAGACATCCACTTGAAACTCCTGTTAGCTCCCTACCTCTGCTGGTGGAGTCCAAGAGAAGCTTCAAAAGCCTTCAAAAGGTTGAGGGGAAAGGGAGCAGCTGGAGACCTAGGAGAAAAGGGGGATATTCATGAAAACAAAGGCACTGAGTAGGTGGGAAGGGATGAGATCGTAGCTAGGGGGAAGGAATTAACCTCTTCTGCAAAGGTATCGGATAGGTAGAGAGATAAGAGTTGAGGAGCATCTTCCTTTGTTGTTGTTGGCTTATCTTTTTTCAGTTGGTTAGGAGGTAAGTTTATCTGTAGAGAAGTGATGCCTCCAGGGGTTGCTATGGGGAAAGAACAAGAAGAGCAACTACAGCATGAAGTCTCAGGCAGTACAAGGGTACAGTGTCACCTGTCTTTGCACATAGGCACTTTTCTGCAATGATGTTCAGTATCCAGGACCAGAGAAGGCCTAGGAGGGCAGGGTGGGCCTAGGGTGGGGGTAATCCAGATGGATGCTATGGAGAAAGTAGCAAAAAGGAAATCAAGATGAGAACCACAGAGAGGTCACAGTAATGTGCAGTATCATTTAGGTTGAATGGAAAAAAGATACAGACAGGAGGACAATAGGTTGTGAAACCTTGGAAGGGTCGAGGAACTGGACATCTTGTGAGGATCAAAAGGCAGGTAGTAAATTCAAGTGAGAAGAGAGAAGGGGGAGAGAAAAATGATCAGAAAGGAGGATCATAAGGGAGAAGCATAAGATTGGGAGATGAGACTATACAGTGGAAGTGCTTTAATTAGTATCATTGCCAAATAAAACCAAGATCTCAAGCTAAAGCAACTACATGGGAGATTCATCTGGAAGCACATTAGAGATGGATTAGGGCAAGAAAAGTCCAGCTGGGCAGGGATGATGGAAGGGAAGGAACTGAAGGGACAATTTACAAAAACTCAACAGCAATTGGTAATGTGGTATTCACAGGAGCAATCATGATGGTAGGAAGTAATTACAGAGGACTTTTCATTAAGTTCTAGATCTATTGAATTCCAGAAACTAGAAGTACACTCAAGTAGAAGCAACCAAAACTATAAGCAACTGAAACTTTTCAGCATAGATTTAGATGAAAGGGCAGACCTACAGGGATGAGGATTTAAGGGTATGAAGTTAGTAAATGGTATCACATAAGTAGGAAGCAGCCAAAGACGAGCCTGTGGAAAAAGAAGAGAAGGGAGAATTTTTCTAGAGAGGTGACCTACAGTGTGATATGAAGCCAAAAGCAAGACAACTGTATGAGCACTGATAATTTGTCCAAGGATGGCATAGTGATCTTGGGTAGAATCCTGTCAGTGGAATAGTTTGAGAATGAAGTCAATTTCAGGAGATTCAGGGAACATAGAAAGGTAGTCTTCAATTCATATTCAATTCAATTCCCCGGACTGAGAAACAGGGGAAGTGAGGTCATATAAGCAGGTCACCTGCCTGTATCTTAAGGGACACAACTAGGGCATGATTTCCACTATGCAAAAGCTTTCAATGAAGAAAGAAGTACAAATCTCCTCCTTTCCCTATTTTTACAGGTGAAATGCAGAGATCAAGATCTTCATTCAGGAACCTTTGGTGGTATCCTTAATGAACCAATGGCTGACTTGGTTGCTCTTCTCGGTAATACCTTATTTTATTCCCCTTTTGAAGCATCAAGGAATCTCCTTTGGTTCCTGAACTGGCTCTGAATAAGGGTGTAGTACAAGAAAAACCATATTCTTAGCTTTTCCTCATCTTGGCAGGATATTCCCTGTAATTAAGCCCATATTATTTGTTTTCATGGAGGGAAACAACTCAATTGGAGATGTGACACATCTGGCCATACACAAGGATGAGCATAGAGATCCAAAGGACTCAAGAGACTGAAGCTATCCTTGAATCTCTCTTTCCGAGGCTTCTAGAACATGGGGTGGTATTTCCAAGCCACTTCTGTGCAGCTGGTATGACATTTTGACTGCACATAAATCAACAAAGTGATGAACAAAAGGGAATGGTCTTAAGTGCTGTTGGGAGAGAGGCACTCAAGATTCTCACAGCAGCCTCTGGTGTCACACCTTAGATGAAGCCCTTCACCAGCTTAACTCTCAGCACACAGAGCTGTGCATCTTAGCACATGGTACTAATGATTACACTGTATCCTTGCTCTTTCCCTGCCCGGCTGCATGACATTGAACACGTTTCTGTCTAGTTCTCAGTTTCTCATTTGCAAACAGGCATAGTCATACACTTACCTATTTAAGTGTTTCAAGGATCCCAGAAGATGATGCGTGTGGAACACTTGAGCACAGTGACTTGACCACAGTGTGTTTGTTGATGACTTTTCTTAGGTCTATCTGCCTAAGAAAGCAGCTCTTTTATATCAATAACTCCAGCAATGGCTTCATTTTTAAGGTTGCTGTGGCCTTGACATAGAGATGCTATGGGTTTGCTGATTGCACCCAACATCAAACCCCTATTCCTGACCTCCACTGTGGTGACTGACGTGTGCAAGTGGATTTTTCTAGGCAGCAAATATGTCCAGGCTTGATCCACTTGATATCACCTCTCTGAATGCCCAAGGTGCTAAGGAAGCTTAAACTTCATGAGGCTCACTTTCAGGAGCTCCTTCCATGGTGCTGGCAGAAACATTCACAATTTTATGTCCATCTTTGGTGTTCTTTTAAAAATGAGTTTCACAAATTAAGTAAGCTTCAGGCTCCATAATACCTCAATTTCCCTCATCTGCAATTTATAGTTCATTATGCAAATTTTATCTGGTGCCCCTTTTGGGCAGACAAATTGCCATAAAATACGCATCTGTCCCTTTGGCCTTGGTAGTTCCACACAGGCTATGATCAGGCCATGTGGCCCAGTTGTTGAGTGTGGGGAAGTCTCCTCAAGGACGTCAGCATTGTCTGTAGTTGTGGAGCTTCCTCCTTCACTGCCTCAAATTGAATAGTGAAATAAAACTACATTTCTGTCACTCATTTGTCTGCCTACTATTATTCTATGGCTTAGTTTTCCCAAAATATAACTTTTAGAGCATAAATCCCATGCTTGACAATTTCAGATAGAAAACAATGGTATTTTCCTTGAAAGAGTTTACATAGTCCACAGAAGAATTTAGCTGTATGCAAACTAATTTTGGGCAAGTGGCATGGTTGATTTTCTATTTTAGTAGAATGAATTTTCTCTTTCCCAGGAACTGCATCATCAAGTCTGCAATAATACATTCCAGGTCTCTCCTCCAGCATCATGGCTGCATGACATTGGTTTAGACTGTTTGATTTTAGTCCAGCATAGAATATTTCATTTAGCCTCATAAATACATATCGTTTTGCCTAGAAAAAGTCAGATCAGATCATGAAAGGAATGAAAAACACATGGTTTTGTTTTTAGTTTTTGATACAAATCAAATAGACCATGACAGCCAGGATTGGTGGCGCACACCTGTAATCTCAGCACTTACTCAGGAGGCTGAGGCAGGAGGATCATTGGGAGTTCAAGACCAGCCTGGGCTACAAAGTGAGCTCAAGGCCAGCCTGAACTGCATAGAGTGAACCAAAGCACAGTGTGAACTCCATGGGGGCACAAAGCAAAATCACATAAGTATCCTGTCTCCAAGGAGGTTTAACACTCAAAATGAAAGGTAGGGTATGGGATAGTAATATTCATGTTCACAAAAAGAGCTCTCATCTCTGTGTTTCCCCTTTGTAGACTTTTGACTCTACATTTCCCAAAAGCCAATATGCAGAAAAGACGGTTGACCCAGGGGCATTTTTATAAGCAAGTAGTATCTGGTGTTATTTAAAATATTAAAATCCCAAGGCACGCCTGGGGATCAGAATTATGCTTCCCATGAACATTTTCAAGGCAGCAATCTCTGCCTCCCATGCATTTCTCAGGATGGTGGAGGTGGCTGCAAAATTTGCATCATGTTCTGAGGAGCACGATTTCAAGTGGAAAGGGAGCAGGATTGGGGGGGGCACTCTTAAAATGATGCTGAGAACTGAGGCCTGGGATCTTTGCTGGCTGTGTGCAATGAGTGCTGGGAAAGCCAGATCTAATCAAATCCTGGACTGATTTGCTAAGGATGTCCATATCACCACCATCCTCACCATAGGCAACATCTGGCAACACCAACTAGTATGACAGAATACCATTCAGGTTCATGAAATGAACATAAGCATCCTGGTCCTAGAGGCACTTTTATTTTGGCATTTGTAGTACTCAAATCTACTTGTGAAAAACACCCTGAAGTCTTGCCAAGTTGTACAAAAATGTTAACCACAAAGATAGTGCCATTGTGCCCACTTGTCCTTCTAGGCTGCACTGTATAGCTATGTGGTCTCATTGGCTTCCTGTGGCTCCTCTGTGCTCCTGTGCTTGACATTTCTCTTCACCAGTGGTGATTCTTCTTCAGGGCTCTTCTCCTTGACCCATGCAGTCCTTGATGCTGTATATTCTGGCTGCACTGTAAGTAGGGTGTGTGTGTCTTACACATTTTTGTAGCTCTGTCCTTACATAGGAGGCTGTTGGCAGGAGTTTAGGGGTAGACATTCAAGGAAAGACTTAGTGATTACATTGTTAGTATTGCTTTTTATGATTCTGGTGAAAACGAGAGAAGGTAGACAGCAAATTGATGATAGTCCCAGTCCTTCCATACCAACTTATGTTTGAATCTGGCTAATGGGTTTAAATCACTTATTCAATGTGCAATACAGTTCACTTGATTCATGGTGCGGGGGTGGGAATTCTGTTACTCAGACTCTGAACACAAAGGTCTCTACTATTGTCCCTATAATGTGGTCATAGAAGGAATAGGAAGTCTGGGGGAACTGCTGTGGGACCAGGAAGCGGGGCTGAAGGAAGAGTTGAACCCAAAACAGAACAGTGGTACCTTCTTCTCTTCACACTCTGCTACCTTAACACAACTCAAGCCTTAAACTTAGATCCCTTGGGATCATTCTCAAAGTGCTGGGAAGCTTATTATTATCACACTACCACTGTCCCTGTGGATTTTGTTATGGTGTTTTATTTAGGGTGAACCGTGTCTACACAGAGGCAAGCAACCTGTTGATCTGCTCACACGGTATCAGACTTGTTACTTTGTGATCAGAGATGGTGTCCTCACTGATGGAAAGAGGGGTCATCTTGTGCATCTTCTCATCCCAGCATTGACCTAGCACCTAGGAAAGAGGAGGTGTACAGTAATTAACCTTTATTAATTAGTGCCTAGCATCTTGAAGGCTTGCTTTGTAATTGTTCACATTAACCTAAAGATCTTAGAGAGTTTTACAGTAATGTTCCTCCTCTGACAATGTCAGATTATAATCATATTAACAATATGGAACATTATTTATGAAGGGCTTTTACTTGAATAAAGTGTACCCAGATGGATTGAGGATTCATTTATCTGACTCAATTTTGTGCCATTTTTAACAACTCACTTTGCTTCCATTTATCTTTGATGTGTGTTTAGTAAGCCTCAGCATCAGCTTCTTTTATAGATATTTGTTGATGTTTTTCTCCACTCTGATTGCTCCCAAAGCTCTTTCATAAAGAGAAGACCAGTATAGATACTCATATATTATAAAAGGTTCTGAGGTTATGATAGATTAGACCTTGAGGTTATTATGCCTCTAATTAAAACTGAGAATTATATTATTAAGGGGAGAACAGAAAGGAGACAGTTGAAAAGGGATAATGGAAATCTTCAGTTTCTTATGTATGTATACCTATATATTTTAAACTTTTTATAATTAATGCATTACTTTTTTAATGCATTACTTTTTAATTTAGAATAAAATGAAAAAAATGAACCTTGTTTATGACATAAAAGTTATGGTTGAGAACTTGCACATTATGCAGATGATCACACCTGATAGTTTATTGTAGACCCACTGTGTTTCAGCCCTGTATTTGACCAGGTGACTATTGCAGGTGTCTGACTCAGGAGGCATCCACAGCTCCTTCCCCTGATAGGAACAGCTCCTTCCCCTGATAATCATCTCATGGGTGGAGCTGTGGCCAATGGCTCTGGCCAGGGAACCCACCAATAGTCATGTGGCCTGTTGTACCCAGAAGAGCCATTACCTGGTCTTGGTCCAAGGGCACAGCATCAGCACTCTTGTAATTTCTGCCTTGCTTTGTTTTCTATGTGCATTTTTTTAGGTAGCCTGGTGGATTCATCAGGTCATATCCTGATACCTGGAATCTATGACCAAGTGGCTCCTATTACAGAGGAGGAAAAAAAAATGTATGAAGCCATTGATTTGGACCTTGAGCAATATCAGAATAGCAGTCAGGTTGAGAAATTTCTGTTTGATACAAAGGTATGGCCATAAGCTGATGGGTGATCTGAAAAGAATGGTGATGATAAATCACATTTTCCCAATGTCTAATTAGCACCAGGTGATACTAATCCATGCATTTTAGAACCCAAGCAAATGTTAGTTCCTAGGCAGATTTTAACTTTCACAGCCACTTACCCATAGTCTAGATCAACCTGTTTCTGGGGTCTGGTTGACATTGGCTTCAGGCACCTAATCATGAGCAATGAGTAATTTCACAGCCATGCTTTTCCAAACCAGTTTATTAATTTACATCCCACACCAGCCTGCAGCCAAAAAGCAAAACTTAACTATTTGATTTGGAAAAGGTTGAGACTGTTCCAGCTCCAAAAGCAGTAATTGTTCATTTTTCCAAGACCCTTAGGGGCAAATCTGTAAGCTAATAGATGGCTTCCTCTGTGAACTAAGGCAACTCAGAGCCCAAGTATTTACTACTGGAAATTTTACACTTTTTTCTTTTTTCTTTGTCTCCTTTTAAAAATATTTGCCTGCTAAGGTCCTTGGTAGCTATGGCTGATTCCTGGGGGAACTATAAAAAGAATCCAAAATCATGCTGAAAAGAGGTAGAGTTTATTGTTGTAAGGTATATTTCTTTTCTCAGAGTAAGTCTATGATGGCTACAACAAGAAAGGAAATTGGATAAAACATGTGGAGTGTTCTTTGAGATCTTCTGAACAAGAAAATGTGGTACACAAGTCATCTCTGTAATGATCATGGATAGAAATTTATAACTGGAAATAGAAAAAGACAAAAGAAATTTATAACTGAACTCAGAGTTGTGAGTGTATTAATGGCAAACTACTAATACTTGGGCAGGAGGCATTGGCTTGGGCAGGAAAAGACCCCAGAAGAAAAGCCACACGTTCTGAGGAAATGGTCCACCTCATTGTGACAGTCCAGTCACATCAGTTAGGTGCTCATTTACTTGTCATGAGTGGGTCTCACATGCATAGATGTTGGTGATACAAGCAATATAATTGAACTGAGTTTTAACCAGAAGTTTTTGGATGATTTTGTTTTTATTTAGGAGGAAATTCTAATGCACCTATGGAGGTACCCGTCTCTTTCTATTCATGGGATTGAAGGTGCATTTGATGAACCTGGAATTAAAACAGTCATACCTGGCCGGGTTACAGGAAAATTCTCAATCCGTCTAGTCCCTCACATGAATATGTCTGTGGTGGAAAAACAGGTAACAATTGTTCAGTGTCACCCAGCCTAGCGGCACCAAGCCCACCACACCAAGGTGTGGTGAGCAACTCCGTTGCTATCGTTGAAGTTAATATTTTATTCTCAACACAAATGAACTGGAACAAATGTCGAGAAATGACTGTTAGCCTTGCTCAGTAAAAACCTATTTCCTCAACTATATGCAATTACTATAGTTAGATAAACAGCATTTGTAGTTGTAGTGATGGGAAAAGTTTTTTTTAAAAAAATAGATGGTAGCAATAAAGGTGAAATTGTTTTTACACATAGGTGGAGTAGGTAACTGCCTATTCTTGGAGGGAGCCAGAAAATCTCAGGCATAGTCATTAGTTTTTTCATGATGTTGGAAATTAACACTTTGAAAGCAACCATTTATAGTTATGTGTCTAAATTATCAACTCATCATTAATTTACCTCGCTAGTGTAACAGGAAGTAGTCCCTCAGATAAATGAATTAAGGAAATCTCAACTCTCAGCTATTCTTAATTCCATTATCCTCCTTTCTGATCTTGTTAGCACCAACTACATTCTAAAAAGTATCCTGACCCCTCCCTTCCTTTTGTATGTATTGCCCCTCTGTCTCACAACATATGCATTCCATGAGGGCAGGACCTTTTTTTCCTTCTTCACAGCTATCTCCCTTGCACCTAGAAAAGTCCCAGACACATGACAGGTGTTAATAAATATTTGCTAAAGGAAAAAATGGAAGAACTATTTCACAGGAGATTTCCTAGGAGGATTTTTTTTTTTTTTTTTTTTTTTTGGTTTTTCTCCGGTACCGAGAACCGAACTCACGACCTTGCGCTTGCCAGGCAGGCGCTTTTTTGCCGCTGA